GGGCTTGGACGTGTACAAACTCTCAAATTACGTGGATAATCTGCGAGAGACGCTGTACACGGAAATCATCGACTTGCTCACGCGCTTTAACGCGGCCGTGGTGGCGCTGGAGCGTTGCGGGGTCCCTCTCGACTTATTGCTGGGAGAAGTGAACAGCACGCCGTCAGGATTGGGCTTGGAGGACTACTTGAACCAGGCTCGGGGCCAGTGGGAGAAGGAGGTGCAAGAATACACGGGCCTGAAGCGCGTCTTGTCCGAGGGAGAGGGTTGGATGGACCGCTTCGGACACATCTATCGACGTTTGGGGGCCATGGTCCAAGACTCCTACCTGAGCAGCTATGAATGGTCGCGAGGGGGCGTACTGAGGCATCGGAATGTGACGGTAGAACTGCCGACGGACGCGGATTTGATCATGCATGTCTTCCTATGGCGTTGCGACGCCATGGCCGAGCACCGTTTGCACGGGGGGGACCGCCCCTTTGTCAAGCAGCATTTTTTGGAGGTCCCACCAGGTACCGAAGAGAGCAGCCGCAGTCTGCGGGGGCGTAATTTGATCATGCGGCACGGGACAAGTCCCCCGTACTTCTCGGTAGTGGAAAACGGGCTCGTGCACCGGATTCCAACAGGGAAGGACAACGCGCTGGTGGCGATCGTAGTTTTTCTCTTTTTGGCGCGGAGGGACCGTTGGCTTCCCAAGTACAATCAGGGCTATCGTCGCTTGTTGGAAGGGGTTTTTGGGTCTGCCGTGCATCCAGAGGGTGGAGCGCGGGGCGACAAAGGGGGCCAAAAGGAGGATGGAAAACGGGGGGATAAGGCGTTCGGGCTACCCGATGCTAGCAAGAGGAAAAGCGATGGCGATAGAGGTGGAAGTCCGGAGGTAGAAGGTCGATGATGTAATGATAAAGAGTCGGATGGGAATGGTTTGGGAAGACCCATTTTGTTTGAAGTGCATTGAGCTCCTTCTTTACTTTTATGAGGAGGCATCGAATATATCTGTTGCTTCAACCATTAAACCCGCCCATGTACACATCCAATGTTATGAATACACGCAAAGGATGAAGAACAGACAACGTTGGAAGGCATTGAGGTTATTTTTTTAGGTTTTAATACCGAGCAATGGCTTTGGGTAGGTCGTACGGAAAAATATTCTTCCAACGCCACACGAAACGAGCGAAACTATGACAGCTGCCGAGGGGGGCAAAATCCTTTTCAAGGTAACTTACAAGCTGTGCCTCCCTCCGCATGTAAGCCCTTCGCTCGCCCTTTGAAAGGACACGCACGTTTTCCGCTCGCGATTAAAAGCGCAACCCTTTGTTCGGATCCGAATCGTCCGATGCTGGCGCGTTTTCATCGAAACTGTCCAGGTCTATGACCTCTGTTTCCCTTCCAGGCAGCGCCACGAGGGTCAGGTCGTACTCGACCGGTGCCATGGGGGGAATGCGAGGCTTACCGGGGGAAGCTGAGCGACCCTTGGCGCCGAAGGCAAGCTCACCCGGGATTGTAAGTTTCCAGCGGTCACCCACTTTCATCACCTTGACGGCCTCTTCGATACCTTTCAGGAGTGTGTTGCCGCCCACGCGGAAGTATAAAGGTTCTTTGGTCTTGTATAAGTCGTCGAACACGTTGTCCTTGTAGGCGCCTGTAAAGCGAATAGCAGCCAATTCGCCCACTTGGGGTATGGGGCCATTACCTTTTTCCAATACCTCGTACGTGATGCCACCGGGAAGTGTCTCTGCACCTGCTCGTGGCAGCGAGATGAGCCCCCTCGAGCTACCCATTGCTAGTCCGAGAGAGAGCAGACCCGCTGTCTTGAACAACGCGTCTCTTCTCGACATGCCACCCTCAGCCTCCAACACAGTCGGGCTACCTTTCTCATTTAGCACTATGGCATCCTTTTTGTTCGTGATTGCAAGCGTCGAGGGGGCGAGGAAGGAGGAAGCACAGGGCAGGAAGAGAAGAGCCCAGCCCGAGATCATAACCTTCATCGTGACTAGGCAGCGGTAAGAGGGATCCTGGCAATGAAGTTATGAGGAGAAAATGAGCATCTGTGTAGCACACGACTGCCACCCGGTCATCGACCGAATGAGAGAGCCACCAGCACCGTTGCTGTCCGTACACATCCGGGCAATGGGGTGCTAGCGGGGTGGCGGGAGCGGACACGGTCGATACCCGCTCAACGACTTGACGCAGGGGCTCGGCGACCTCCTGGCCCCCGCTGCCCCCTCACAAAGCGCGCCATGGGCACGTTTCTGACCGTGTGTCGCTGCTTTGGGTCGTGACTTAGTGTCTTTGTAGCTTTGGTTTCACTGCTTGACCGTCTTCATTGTCATAAGCTATGTGGCTCGGGATGCAAGGTTATCTTACCAGAGACAACAAGGCAGCAAACGTGGCGTTAGAAGGCATCCGTCTCATGTTGCTTGTTATCCACTGACTGAGTCTGCAAGGAGAAATTAATGCCAAACAAAAACTAAGAACACAAATCACTTCTTTTCTGCAATAAGAGCTTGATTTCGTTTAACAATTGAATGATTTGTCTCCTCTCTAATCGTTGCCATCTCCCTTGAACTGCTCTTTTCCTCTCTCAATTTATGTCAGCATTTCCGAGACTTTAATGTTGCCCTTGCCCTTCAACAGCTTCCCGTACTTATGTTTGCCGCGGGTTGGGCGTCGGCTTCGACGACTCTGCCAGTTGTTTGGATCGCTCCGCTGCGGCCACCACCGCCCCGATAACCGTGGATCGCAAACCCCCTTTCTCCAAGGCCTCGATCCCCGTGATGGTGGTACCTCCCGGGCTGGCCACTTGATCCTTAAGCACTCCTGGATGCTCTCCAGTAAGCTGGACCATGGTGGCCGCGCCCTTGACCGTCTGTGCGGCGAGTTGCATAGCCACATTGCGGGGAAGACCGGCCCGCACGCCGCCATCGGCCATGGCCTCGATCATCATGAACACGTAGGCCGGCCCACTCCCGCTCAGTCCTGTCACAGCTGCAGTGGCCCAGAAAAACGAGGATGAGGACATGTTCGGGACCCTTCCCGTTTTTGTACACTGACGGGGGGCGACAGAATGACTACCTCCACCTCTCCCTCCTGGACGGAAACAACCCTCGTTTATGAAATCCAAAACAATTCACTTCTATGTCCGTGCGCTCGTCAAACTCACCGTTCAAATCCTTCTCTTTTACTTCGAAGGCTGCACCCACGGCCGAAAAAATGCGTTTTACGAGCACAGCGTCCTCCGGCAGGCAGGAGCCGCCCAAGGCGAATGCGGCGGCGCACTCCCCCACCAGGCAGGGAGTGTTGGGCATCACTCGCACCACCCGAGTCTGGTCGGGGAGTTGCTGTGGTGGTAGGCAGGAAAGAGGGGGAAAGTGAGGCACACGCTCCAAGACCGGTGCGGCTCGGCGGTGACGAGGCCGCCGAACCTGCCGGGAGTCTAGCAGTGTGCCTTCAGCCTGGCACGGGAGGAGGCACTGACATGACAGGGGGCAGGGCTCTGGAGGGCACAGGGAACAACGGGTTGCCTTGACTTACGTGCTCCATAAGCTGCAGAGTAGCCCCCGCAGCAATGGAGATAATGAGGTGGTGGCGGGTCACTCGCTGCGAAAGCTCTCGCAGGACTTGGGGAATGATGTCCGGCTTCACAGCGAGGACGATCACTTGCGCGTGCTGTGTATGAAGGTGCACAGATGCCACAAATCGTGTCAATAAGGGTGTGGGACGGACCGGGGATAGATGGCAGAGGCCAGCCCTTTGTCCAAAAAAGGGCGAGACGACGCATTCAATTTTTAGACATGTGTCATTCACGAGTAAATGATGCCCGGGATACGATCATCGCCCCTGTTCACATCGATTTGAAACGTACCTCGATAACTTGGATGTTGTCGTCGTAGGCGATTACTCCGACTTCCGCAGCAAGCTTGTCCCGCATGGGCTTGTAGGGGTCGCTCACAGAGATGGCGAAGTTGGGAACGACTCCCGCCTTGACAAGTCCTCTAATCAATGCCGACGCCATCATTCCGCCGCCAATAAACCCTACGGTAAATTTCTTTTCCCCTTCGCCGCTCTTCGCCCCCCCGGCGGGACGTAGAGGTCCTGGCTTGGCATGCTGTGGATGCGGCGGGCTGGCATTCGTACTACTGGCAGTGCTACTGCTGGGAGC